AGCTAACTATTAACCTGTTTGTCGCGAGAGGACTAACTACATTTTAATATCTTGCAGATATTATAACAACATATTTCTACTACAAAATTCTGACAGTGCATGGGTTTTCTATTCAGTATGATTATCTCTTTATGCTTCTATTAAGTGAACTAATATAATTATCAAATATCTCCAGAAAGTCACCACAGATATGATAATCAAAGCAGCCAATGGGAGGGAAATGAAGGCTCTGACAGTTTTTAAAGAAGCTTTAAGGTTCCTGAAGGAAGACGCTCTGAAAACCATTCAGCAAAATACTGAAGGAAGGAACTTCACAGCCTCTGACTTCACCTGGGTGCTGACTGTTCCTGCCATCTGGGATCATTCAGCCAAACAGTTCATGAGAGAAGCTGCAACTCAGGTAACTCACAGACTGTTGGACACCACAGTGGTAACATCTGCTTATTGTTTCAAAATATGCATTTTCTCATTGCTTGCAGGCAGGAATTGTAACAGATGGAACTGAAAACAATCTGGTGCTTGCTCTGGAACCAGAAGCAGCTTTAGTTTACTGTAAGAAACTACCATCTGAGGGTTTCATAGCAGAAAACCGAGGTGAAAGCAAACTGGACCAATCTCCAGGAACTCAGTATATCGTTGTTAATTGTGGAGGTATGACATTTTCAATGGTGGCTGTTTTAAATGAATATGAATATTTTAAAAAAATAGTTATAGTGGGATGCACAGTGGCCAGGATTTTCTCTCTGCAAGGTAACAGTGCCAACAACTGCATCACCACTGTTAGAATTTTAGCTGTTGTTAATAAATACTTATTTTTTTCTGTCTCATTTAGTTATTTGCATGCTTGCATATATATGCATGTGCTCTATACATACACATAGTGCACTTGCGCAAGGCTAAGGTTAAAGGAAATGACACGCTAGGGAATGCCCTTTTAGGGTATAGTTTAAGGAACTAAGGTAATTTAATTTAATTTATATAGAACATTTTCAGCAACAAGGCAATTCAAAGTACATTACATGAAAGGAAATGCAAACAAAATAAAGATAGAGAAAATAAGAAAGAATATCATAATGTTGATAATTCATTCCAGTTCTGAGTTTCTAGGGTAATTTTTCTGGGTTCTAAATTTGTTCTAATCCCTGTCCTGGGTTGCTAAAGTAAAAGTGAGTATGCATCATCTGGGCTTTCTATAATCAAATGATAAGTACTCCACAATTTGTAAATAGTAAGGAAAACTAAATGTTCCTGTTCTGAAATTAGTTTTCCTGGAGTCTTAAGTTTGTTAAAATTCTCAGCAGCAAAAATAAGAGCCTCTCTGCATAAAAATCTAACATGCAACTGAATAAAAATAAAAATAAGTAGGATGAATCATTTGTATTGGACACCAGTCAAACTATTTACCAGAGGGAGGGTGAG